ATAATATACAGTAGTTTCCTTATTTATAATTATACAACTTTGAATAGAAATAGTAAACTGAGATTGAAATCTAACAGGAACTATATTTCGGAACTGTGGCGTATGAAAAATCTCCTTTTCTGTTTCTTAGAGTTTTTACAGAACAATTAAATTTTACAGAACTGTTAAAGTATAAAAGAATTTTTTAAAATAAACTTCAGTCGACTTTCTCGTGTTCTATGTTGACGTAGAAAAGTCTGAATACAAGTATCTGTCAATTGCATTGTAAACGTACAATAAGTAAATTAAAGGTCAAATATCAAGGAAATGGATATACTTGTATATAATATATGTTGTAAACAATGATTAAAGAGAAGGAATTACAATATTCGTTTAATTTTAAACCTCGTTGTTTTCTTTATTTACCTGTTCAAATATCGCTAAAAATAACGTTCATCAATAGAATTACTTCCCCTTTTTGTGACGTCATTAGAGACACTCGACAAAATATATCTACATTAGTATAGTAAAAAGTGCTCTTGATTATCTAAAATTATGGCAAATTTTGGGGAACAGAAATGTTGATATATCAGAGTAATGCGTAGATCTGTCTTTTCAGAATAGGCTTTGTATATTTGAGTTAAGAAAGTACGCAAATTGATTCTTCTTCGACCGATTCTGTTTCGTACGAAGCCGGTAAGGGTGAAAGTGGAAATTAAAATAACACAAATGACAAGGGATCATCGCAGAAGCTAACGAATATACATACATGTAATTTGTATTTAATGCCTTTTTACGGTGGTATATTTAGGACACGCAATTATTTTTTTTTAAATACCAGAAAAAAATTATCTTGTGAAAACGACATAATTATCTTGTGAAAACGAGATATTATCTTGTGAAAACGACTTATTATCTTGTGAAAACGAGATATTATCTTGTGAAAACGACTTATTATCTTGTGAAAACGAGATAATATCTTGTGAAAACGAGATATTATCTTGTGAAAACGACTTATTATCTTGTGAAAACGAGATATTATCTTGTGAAAACGAGTTATTATCTTGTGAAAACGAGATAATATCTTGTGAAAACGAGATATTATCTTGTGAAAACGACTTATTATCTTGTGAAAACGACTTATCATCTTGTGAAAACGAGATATTATCTTGTGAAAACGACTTATTATCTTGTGAAAACGAGATAATATCTTGTGAAAACGAGATAATATCTTGTGAAAACGAGATATTATCTTGTGAAAACGACTTATTATCTTGTGAAAACGAGATATTATCTTGTGAAAACGACTTATTATCTTGTGAAAACGAGATATTATCTTGTGAAAACGGGATATTATCTTGTGAAAACGACTTATCATCTTGTGAAAACGAGATAATATCTTGTGAAAACGAGATATTATCTTGTGAAAACGACTTATTATCTTGTGAAAACGAGATATTATCTTGTGAAAACGACATATTATCTTGTGAAAACGACTTATTATCTTGTGAAAACGAGATAATATCTTGTGAAAACGAGCTATTATCTTGTGAAAACGACTTATTATTACGGTGGTATATTCAGGACACACAATTATTTTTTTTTAATACCAGAAAAAAATTATCTTGTGAAAACGACATAATTATCTTGTGAAAACGACATATTATCTTATCGTTTTCACAAGATGATATCTCGTTTTCACAAGATAATATCTCGTTTTCACAAGATAATAAGTCGTTTTCACAAGATAATATGTCGTTTTCACAAGATAATATCTCGTTTTCACAAGATATTATCTTCTTTTACACAAGATAATATCTCGTTTTCACAAGATAATAAGTCGTTTTCACAAGATAATATCTCGTTTTCACAAGATATTATCTCGTTTTCACAAGATAATTTCTCGTTTTCACAAGATATTATCTCGTTTTCACAAGATAATTATGTCGTTTTCACAAGATAATTTTTTTCTGGTATTAAAAAAAAAATAATTGTGTGTCCTAAATATACCACCGTATGAATGACATTCTGAGGTCTATCTAATTTTTTGTCACCAATTTCCATCACTAATAGCCGTTTAAACGTACCTGTGAGGCAAATGGATCATTTATTGTAAATCGCTTATCTCCCTTGTTGCGTGACGTCATCAGAGACAGCGTGAAATGGCGTGAAATAGGAAGTGCTAGCTGCAGAACTGTAGCTCTCCGAGAAAAAAAAATATTGACAGATGCTATATTGTCATGTTTGGAACATTATTGTTTGCGAAATGTTGCCATGTGGGCTTTTAACTGTACCAATAAATCGGAACAAGACATGTTTATATGTTTAAATTCTTACGCACCTGAAATTGAGGGAAATATGGACATTCAATTTAAAAAGAGATGGTTTTGAGCCCAATAAAAACGAAACACTATAAATATTTGTAAGCGACATTTTACATAGACCAGTTTAGGCTACAATTAATTATAAAATTATCTCACGAATTTCTTGGTTTTATTTCAATTTAAATTGCATTTTTCAATTTGTTAGTTCAGGTATTTATATCCGCAATACCGTTTTGAGGGAAAGTTTTATTTTTTTTATTTTTGTTACAGTACTCAACAAGATCACAAGTACCTGACGACTGGTTCATGTACTTTGCCCCTTCCCCCCTACTGAAAATAAAACTAAGCAAAATATACATGAATTCCTTGTTCGTCATACCAATACCTCGATATTTTATATTTTCCGCTTTTGTCAAGTTTTAGAGATTGGCCCTTTACATTAGAGCATGCACTCGGTATATACATGACTGAACATTACGCGGCGCCAAGTCAAAAGTACATGTATTTCAGCGTAAACCTCGAACATGCTGGAGTAAAAAAAATACTAGCAATTTTCATATACTGTGGAGGAACAATCTCTAAAATTCGATTGACAAAAAAACGGTATAATAGACAAGGAATTGATTTTCTGGCAAGTTATCGTGTCTAAAAAAAAATCTCAGTTGGGATGGGGTATGTCCCGGAAATCCCCCCTCTAAATCCGCGCATGATATCTGTCTCAGAAAATACTTACTCAAGAATGCGTTCATTTACTTCCAGTTGTCCCTTTTCTAGAAAATTTTTATATCAAAATTGTTTCCATAACATATTTATTCAAACATTAAAACCTCAGTGTTCATGCACGCAAGTGATTGTTCCTCAATTTTCTGCCCGCAGTTTTGTTTTCCTCCAGTGCTTATTTTACCACTTGTTACCACAAGAGCATATGAAATCAGAATGTATACTTAAAATAGTTTTGTTTTCTTTTTTCTAAACTAAATTATGGTGAAATAATTCATATTAGAATATTTTTAGAATGAAAGCGCTATGTGACAAAGATTTTCAGGCCTGTATGAAGCAATTAATATCCGTTGAGGGGGGCAACAAAGAAATGTAACTTCGGGAGGGAGGGGGGGGGCAAATAAAAATTACTTGTTACGCATAAATTAAAAAGGTTCCAGACAAATGTTTAGTTACCACAGGTGCTTAGGGACGGGGAAAATTCGATAATAAGATAATAAGTCGTTTTCACAAGATAATTTCTCGTTTTTACAAGATATTATCTCGTTTTCACAAGATAATATCTCGTTTTCACAAGATAATATAATATGTCGTTTTCACAAGATAATAAGTCGTTTTCACAAGATAATTTCTCGTTTTCACAAGATAATATCTCGTTTTCACAAGATAATTATGTCGTTTTCACAAGATAATTTTTTTCTGGTATTAAAAAAAATAATTGTGTGTCCTGAATATACCACCGTAATAATAAGTCGTTTTCACAAGATAATATCTCGTTTTCACAAGATATTATCTCGTTTTCACAAGATAATAAGTCCTTTTCACTCGTTTTCACAAGATAATATCTCGTTTTCACAAGATATTATCTCGTTTTCACAAGATGATAAGTCGTTTTCACAAGATAATATCCCGTTTTCACAAGATAATATCTCGTTTTCACAAGATAATAAGTCGTTTTCACAAGATAATATCTCGTTTTCACAAGATAATAAGTCGTTTTCACAAGATAATATCTCGTTTTCACAAGATATTATCTCGTTTTCACAAGATATTATCTCGTTTTCACAAGATAATAAGTCGTTTTCACAAGATAATATCTCGTTTTCACAAGATGATAAGTCGTTTTCACAAGATAATATCTCGTTTTCACAAGATATTATCTCGTTTTCACAAGATAATATCTCGTTTTCACAAGATAATAAGTCGTTTTCACAAGATAATATCTCGTTTTCACAAGATATTATCTCGTTTTCACAAGATAATAACTCGTTTTCACAAGATAATATCTCGTTTTCACAAGATAATAAGTCGTTTTCACAAGATAATATATCGTTTTCACAAGATATTATCTCGTTTTCACAAGATAATAAGTCGTTTTCACAAGATAATATCTCGTTTTCACAAGATAATAAGTCGTTTTCACAAGATAATTATGTCGTTTTCACAAGATAATTTTTTTCTGGTATTTAAAAAAAAATAATTGCGTGTCCTAAATATACCACCGTACATTCATATTGCTCCAAAGATTGACAATAATGTATAATTATGAATTTTCACAAAAATATTATACTTAATAGCTTTGGTAAATCATATTTTGGAAGACTGCACAAGTTTGTTTAAAAGCATCATTGAAAGTAAAATACCTTATGATATAGAATACTTTGTACATAAATTATGACATGTTCATAAAGATTACGAGTCCACACACAGCGAAACTCTTGAGACCGTCGGATCTGAAGTCACCTGATGACACTACACGTATTTTAAGTTTTAATTTAAGGAGGATTGGTATTTTGGCATTGGTACAGTGTGCTGGTGATCGAAGCATTTTCGAGGAAACAAAAAGTATTCCAGACCATTTTGTTTCCGCTGTTGAGTTGAAAATAGAAATAAACGATGAATTGGGGAAAAAAGTATCGAATGGGAAAAGTGCATAACAAATACAAGCAAAGGGAGGAAAGACGGCTCGCAATGAGGCGCTTTTTTCCCACTTCTCTAATTAGAAATGATTAGAAAAGTTTGGATTATTTATATGTGTGTTGAATTTTGCCACAGTAATGCGGACTTCGGATGTTGTGGACAATACAACAATGGATCTTGTTGGTAGGTTCTTTTTTAAGTGTCAAGGATTTTTACTGGGCCATAAATTAAAGTCGCAGTTCTTATAGGAATTGTAATTCTTAAAAAATTTAAAGCATACACTGTACCAATTTTTTTTGGCTGATCAAGCCGTATCTTTTCTGATTCAAAAGTGGTAATGACCAAGGTTAAAGTTTTTGTGACAGACGGATCGACAGACTGAAGGGCGAATAAGATATAATGCACCCTCGCTTTGGCTAAAGCAGGGGACAAAAATCAAAGGGTGGCCCTTTACAGGTTCCTGAAAATTCCTTGGATGCAGAACAACAGCCTTAAAATCAAAAGCAAAATCCACTCTAGTAGTTAAATATAGTTTTCTTCTGAACACACTTTGACACCTGTATTTTCATTAACTATCATTAGGACTTCCCTTCATAGAACTTTCTATGCCCCCGTAGTCGAAGATTCGGTGGTATATAGTTTTTGTCTTATCCGTTCGTTTGTCTGTCGATCTGCCTGTCTATCTGTCTTTTTGTCCACAAAAACTTTAACTTCGCCCGTGATTTTGAGTGGGCCAGGTTATAGGTTTCATATTTCACACGTATAGACTTTTCCTTGGGTACCACCAAATTTGACCTCTCTTAACCTTGACACTGAGTTTGACGCAATTTAGCAAAACAATTACCAAACATTAACCTTGGCCATAATTTTTTGACAGTTATAACTATGGCTTTCAAATTTCATAGGTATATTCATTGGGACAAGACCTTCATCTGGACACCAACAAATCTGACCTTGACCTTAGAATTTTACCCACTTTTTAAAAACTTTAACCTTGGCCATAACTTTTGAACAATAAGCACCAGGGTTTTCATATTTCACAGATGTATTCATTATGCCAGGATCTTCCTTTGGATACGAACACTTTTGACTTTGACTTTGGAGGTGTTCGTGCATCTGAGAAACTTCAACCATCACCATAAGCTGCCATACGCGGGCATCAGTGTTTCACAAACACACTAAAATGATACTGTAGTTAACTTAAAAGTTTTACTTTAAATCTCCACATTTCTGGTCAAATAAAAATGATCCTCGGAGCTAATGTCACTAGTATGCAGAATATGAAAAAGAGGACAGATAACGAACATGTGCTGTGATCGATCTAAAAAAAACTTCTGCAAATACAATTGTGAACATAACATGAACATGGACCCTTTGACATTCCAGAGGTTAGATCAAGTGCCAGTACTAGAAGTAAACATCCCCCGTTGACCGCGATCACGCTCACCGTAAACCCTATGTATCAGAACATTACTTCGTCAAATTCAGAACAAAACAAAGCTCTAGTAAGGTCATTATCCCAGTTACATCAACTGAGTAGCCTGACTCTGTTTAAAAATTAATATTTACATTTCCAGTGTCTTTGTCCGAGATAAAATTACAAAAGGTCAATGTACTTTATTTCTCCATCGATGTACTGGTATAGGCGCGGTTAAAAAAAATCACGTGCAGGGCGCGACAAATAGCTAGACAGAAGCAGGGCTTGCAGCACGTGGATTGGTGGAATCAAGAGCATGTAAATATAAGGAATAACTGTCAGATTTTTCAATATTTCATGACGATGATCAATCGATTGGCTTGCGTGATAATTTGCGTAAAATTATCACGCAAGCCAATCGATTGATCACATCATGAAATAGAAAAATAAGATTTATTCCTTAAATCAATTCAAAGTGTGCTCTTGAATAGCGAAGAAGTTGGAGACATAAACACTGTACATGCATACAGGCGATAGTTTTCCCCAGGTTATAAGTGATGTTGATATATGAGGGATTGGAATTATTTTGAAAGTATTGTTGGAAAATAAAGAAGAAAAAGAAATCTCTGAGGTGAAGTGTTTTTTGTTAGATTTAGCTGTGTGGAATTCATTTCAGGAAATGCTGCAATAATTTTGAACTCATAAATGGAACCTGTCGAGGTAAAATATAAAATTTCAATTAAATTCATAATAATTCAATTAATATGATTGTGATGCTTGATTCAATTTTTATAATCGACACATTTTTAATATAAAATCCATAAATACAATGTACATGCATAAATACTTATAAAATTTAGATACACTTGGTTAGGATATATCTATTTTAAACGGAACCCTAATTTATGATATGCACAAACTACATGTACATGTGGATTAAAAAAAACTTGCTTCTAGAAGTAATATGAAAAAATTAATAGATTTCTATTTGTGTGGTACTTCAGATTTATACCGGTATATCTGTTTACACAGTTTGTGATCCAGGATTATGGGGCGTTAACTGCAGTATGAACTGTAGCTATCCTTACTATGGAGATTTATGCATTAAATTGTGCTCTACTTGTTCAGAAAAGGATTGTGACCCTGCATTAGGATGCACTGTGAAAGGTATGGACAAATACTAATGGGAGGCATGTCATGCGATGGCATGTCAGTAGATTCCACCGCTTCCAATGATCTGCACTTATCTCTCAGTGATTCAAAGTCCAATAAAGCTGTGCAACTAACCTCTTAGGGATTTTTTTCGGGTGTGAGGGGAATGTACTTAAGATACTTGATGAAATCAATATGTGACAGCTGTTTAATGATTTTAATGAAGATTTTTGTCATTACGATTGTTATTTATAAATTCAGAGACCTCAGTGACATCGTACATAGCGCAGACCGTTATAATGTCCTCATCACAAGAGACTTCAGCGCAGGGAAATAATCAACACCACACTATTAATGGTAAATGGAAAGTTTAATAAATTTATGAAATTATTTAAATCATGTTACTGAAAGAGCTTATATATGTAAGTAGGAAACAAACTTGCTATTTTCATAAATTGGAAATTCGTTTTTTGACAAAAGCAGGAAAGGAATTCGGGTTTAAAGCCTATTTGGCGACATATTCCTTGTGAACAGTAAACACTTACAATGTAATTAAGTTTTACTTTTTATTGTAATATTAGAATGTTCAAGTTAATTTTTATGTTATTATATTTTCAACATGTGAATCAGCAGTTGTTTAAAACATTTAAACTTTAATTTTGCCCGCATGAAAATGCTCGAAAGACAAAAGTCATTCAGTTGGAAAGATGTAGTATTAGAATATTACTGAAGAGTTTTCACATATAGTAGTTCTCAAAAGAGCTTTAAAAGTAACAACAAAATTTAGTATATTCTTTCAGAGAAAATCGTCGCAACTACGCACACAGAATTATCAACCCCCCATATTAGTATGGGACAAAACACAAAATCCAACAGACCAGAGGTAACATCGGTCCCAAAGACAATCAACACTAAGCAGACCACGTCCCGAATCCGCCGACCGTTCACGAGGAAACCCCCGGGGAGCGTCCCAGACCTGACCAGTGAGTCCTGGCTGATTTCTGTGGTGGGAGTCCTGGGAATTTCCCTGGGGGTCAGCCTCGTCGTCATTCTTGGTCTGGTATGCCTCTTCCTCTGGAAGAAAAGACAAGACAGCACCATAGGACAGTCATCATACATAAAACATGATGGCAGACAAAAAGACTTAGAGACAAACATGTACAGTTGTGACCATATGGATAGTAAGGAGGCGTTGACTTTGACAGAGGCGGAGGTGGGCACCAGTTTTACAAAGCAGAGTTATAGAGAATCATCAGAGTATCAGACCCTCTGTGCTGTCTCTCCTTTGAGGAAGTCTGACGAAAGAGGTCGTTCTGACGTCCCTAGCCATTCTACTGACACTTACATGGAACCCGTGACTAGAGAGGGAGTCACACTCCGCACCATTGTCGATAACCCTTCGTATGTTGAAGTGATACCATAGAGTCACATACTTACCGAACGTGATACTTAGCTAACAATAATTTTTTATTGAAAGCAGTATTATTAGATTCCCATTAAAGTTTTTTTCTCTTTGCAGAAACCTTGATAAAAAAAAATAATGTTATAGCATGTAAGAGTTGATCAACCGATGGACCACTGATGGTTGTAAATACATTAAATGGAGATCAATTATTGATTGTTTCTTATTTGATTATAACAAGTTGAATACTTGTTGAAAGATGGTTCATTTTACTTATCATTATCACTTTTAGTGCTTTTATTAATAATTGATTTGTCATAATAATGGAAAATCCAGTTAAAACAAGCAGTATATACCGTTTACATACATACCGGGTATTTTCACTCCCGTTATCTTTGATCCTTGTGCCCTCATGACAAGTTGCCGAATTTATAAAGAATTCAAAGAAGACATGTCTTCACAAAACAATTTAATTCGAATTCAAAACAGATTAAAATTGTTTTAAAGTATAAAACGGTTAAAAATAAAACAGGCAAAACAATCCAATATGAGTAATGCTTTCTTTTGAAAATCGACTTGAATTAATAAAACAGAAATGAAATGAAATATATGGAATATATGGAGATAACGAAAAAAGTCAAGCTCAGAAGTCCATGAGATAATATAAAATTTGGAACAGAGCGAACATGGACCTCAAAAACAGCAAGTTGGGATAAGATGCCACGGAGAAGTAAACATCTCCAGCAGATCTAATTATTTCTACACTACGGATTTTGATAATTTTTCGTTACTTGATTTTTACTGTTATATTTATTGTTTTAAAAGATTAAATACTGGAATGTTTACCACCCCGATTTTTTAAGGGGGCTATCTCAAAAGTTGTCAAATTTTACTATTGGACTATAAAGGAATTTGCTGGAAAAGCGCCAAATTACCACATTTTCCCCATATTTTCTGTATTTCTGCCCTAGAGATTTCTTCATCAGTCAAGGAGATGAAGTTATTATTAAAATTGTGAAATTTTTTAAAAAAATTGACCATTTAGGTTGGTCTTGGTTTTAGTTACAAAATTTACTTTTTCAATGCCCAGTACCTCTAATATTGCCATATTGCGGTATAAATACATATCGGTGCAGATGAATTATCGGCGCAGATACTTTTTGGGTAAAAAATAGCAATATTTTCTTAGTTTGTGTAATTAAAACTGAGGAGCAGAGGACAATACTTTCAAAGAATTGATGCATTTTCTCAATATCATCAATAGAGCCACAGTATAATATCTAGAACTTGAATTTAATAATGTACTATAGTAAGTAGAGGGTTCCATGTTTATCCCATTCATGACTAACAGAATCGGCTTCTTGATATTCAGAAGTAAAGAAGAACCCTTTTTAAAGATTGATGGATTTGTTTCCAACCCCCGGACACATGGAATAAGGAGGCTTGAATCAACAATTTTTGTTCCCCTTCGACGATAAAGGGTAAAGGTTCAGGGATTTCAGTGTTGAAGCTGAAACTTTTCAAACGTTAAACACACACAAACGGTAATAGCACAAGGTGACATGAGTGACGTTCGTTACTATTGCATGATTTCAATATTTTGTCTGGCAACATTTTCATTGTGACAGATGTATGCCTTATAACGCAACATCATATCCTATTGAAATGACAAAACGCTTCCGGACACATATAATATTTGTACAAAAGTGTATGTCATTTTTTGAGCTAAGATTACAATAACGTTCATCAACATAATTTTAAAAAAAATTAAACAAATATTTCCTATATAAGGAAACAAACATTAATCAAAGATTGAAGTTTTCACAGACGCAGTTTAATTTTCAATGAAATATATGGAAAAAACAAACAGGACCAAAGCTTAACAGTCCATTCAACTATGCAAATCAGTAGCGGAGCAAACAAGTACCTCGAAAACATCAGTGGTGAGATCAAGTGAGCATCCCCTGCTGACCAGACACTGTCGTCATTTACTCCATGTCATGATCCACAAAACGGACAAATACGTAGACATTGTAAATAATTTCCTAATACTTAGTATGAAAAACGCCCGACGCCATTTTACAAATGATAAACTGCATCTTAAAATTCCAAGGAGCTTTTGAACAATTTGAAATCACTAGATTTTACCAAAATCAACAGCTTAGAAAACATTGACTTTTCAACTTTATACACAACCATTCCCCACGATAAATTAAAGTCAAGACTCATTTGATATCATTGATAGCTGCTTTTTCAATAAAAATGGAACTCGTAAATTTAATTACTTTGTCATTGGTTATTTGCAAAATTATTTTGTTAAAAACCATTCTGATTGTACAGTGGTATACACATATATTTAGAAGTTGACATCAAAAAGAAGCTTGAGTTTCTGATTGACAGTATCTATGTTGTTCCTGGAGACAAGGTCTTCCAACAAGCTATTTGAATTCCCATGGTACCAATTGGGCCTCGTTATTAGCAGACTTATTTTTGTATTCATTTGAAGCAGAATTTGTCCAAAATCTTAAACGTGAAAAGAATAAAACAGTTGCTGCGACCTTCAACTCGACATTGAGATGTATCGACGAAGTATTGTCAATTAACAAAGGTAATTTCCATTCTTATGTCGATACGATATTATATCCTGATGAGCTTGAGATAAAAGATACCACAGAGTCCGACACTTCTGTTTCATATTTGGATATTTTACTTGAAAAAGACGTTAATGGTAATCTAACAACCAAGTTCTATGATAAACGTGATGACTTTTATTTTTCTATCGTCAACTTCCCTTACTTATGCAGCATTATACCAGGTATCTTCATCACCTGCATATGGAGTTTATATCTCTCAGTTACTTCGATACACAAGAGCATGCTCTACATATGAACAATTTCTAAAACGAAGTAAATTATTGACAACAAGTTGATGAAACAAGAATTTCAACAGTCTCGATTAAAGTCATCATTTCGTAAGTTCTGTGGTTGATACAGTGACAAGAAAAACTCTGTGCAACAGCTTTGTTCCACAACACCTGGAATTCCAACATCATGTGACCAGAGGTACCATCATCCAGACGCACACAAGATCACTCGCAAAGGAACTTTTTGCCCCCAGTTTTGCTGATGAGAAAGCAATATTAGGACTTGATGGGCCCTATTTGGCTGATGGCAAGAACTCTGATACCAAGATCCTGAATCATATTTTTGCAACATGTTTAAGAAATAAATCGTGGATCAAGGAAGATGACATTCTGATTGTAGACCGTGGTTTCAGGGACTGGAGTATTATCTGAGCTTGGAATCAACATGGAAATGCCGTCCTTCTTAAAGAAAAGTCAAAAGCAGCATTCAACTGAAGAAGCAAATAGTTCCCGACTTGTAACGAAGGTTTTTTTCTTATAATTATTTTTTTTTTAAATGTGAAAGGAGGTGGGAGCATATGCCTTTCCAAAGAACTATATGCGGTATATTGCATATACTTGCCCCCACAAAAGTTACATTTTGAAAACTTCATGAAATGTGCTAAATTCAATAAATTGTATGAGAAATATAAATTAACAGAACATATTATAGTTTCAAAGCAGTTTATTCGCAATTTTTGTTTTTATGACGTCACAAACTAGTCCAATTTTAGAATTTTTTTCAGGAAGAGGACAAAATTGACAAAATTTCAACAATTTTAGCTTTTAAAAATATAGAGCGCATGTTTGTTCAGGATTAATATTTACATATTTCATTGATATTATCATTCTACACATTATATCAAAATATTGATCCTGAACACACATGCGCTCGGTGACTTTTACTCAAAATATCGATGAAATATGTACATTTTTTGTAGAATTCATTAAAACTGAAATTTACGTCATGTTTGTGACGTCATTACGTACATATGACGTCATTACTTATGAAAATATTCAGTGCTTTGAGGTCACAATATAATCCTCTGTTTAAGAACTTAATTAAATTATACCTCCATCAAAGTTTGATTTGGGGGGCAAATATTGGTTATTACCAATAATATTCGAATATGCGAATAAAGTTCTTTAGTATTTTGAATGATGAAAATATGATATTGTATGGATCAAGGTTTATGTACTTTTATATTCTAATTTTAAAAACAGATCCGATGGGAAGTTGAGTCAGTGAATGCACGAATTAAAACATGGAGATAACTTGGTAAACAGCTCCCAAATTCACAACTTCCGTGCATTGGAGACTATGTCAGAATAGTCAGCGCCATTTGTAATAAATATAGGTAAATATAATGTTTCCAGAACAAAGGTTCATTCTTTAGAATTTTTTGCTGCAGTAATTTTTGACCCACAATGCATCACTTAGCAAAGTTGCGTTCTCGCGAGAATGACGGCAAATGTTCAACAAAAAGTTTACTCGCCTCGATTAAATGGATACATATTGAAGATAAATTGTAAACGTAACTTTTTTCATTAACTTTCAGCACTGTTCAGTTTTTTCTTGGAATTTGTAACTTACATACGACGTCATGTGACGTCAGAGTCTAGACGCACAAATGTCACGTGCGGTTTGACGAGCCCGATCTAATATTAAAACAATAGCAGAGTTTGCGCTCGCTCTAACGGTCTCACCGTCAACATATTAGTATAATGAGAAAGACTTTTAGTCATTTTTAAAGCCGCTTGGTCCGAGTCTAATTGCTAAAAATAATTCTTCTTGAAAAATAACTGTCCATAAATTGTATCACCTTTACAAATTATATCCCCAGTCTTTTTCTTTTAAAAGATATCAAAATTCAAAAGTTAAAAAAAATGATTTTTGTTAGGTCACACAAAAAATAATCTTATGTTGATAACGCGTGAAATCCCCTTCGAAAAATTAAATTTATCGCTTACATGTATATCTCATGCATGAAGAACGAACCCGAGCATTTTTTTTTCACAACAAAGTACTTATACCTGTACACGGACAATATTTTAGCCTTCATTACTAAAAATCCTTTAAAAAAATATCGGATATTCCTTTATTCTTTAAATATACATATTGATATAAAAATTACTATGGATTATATATTCAATGACTTAGGCTTCTACTTAAGGAAAAAATAGTCGGGTTTGAATTATCTTCATAATAAGATAAAACCGATAAGTTTATTTTTTTCAAAGGTGACTTCACAACAGATCTTAACTTCCTGTCAGGAATTTTCTGTTTGTCAATAAGGTTTTTGATCCATGGTTTCCATGTAAGGATTGTTGCAATAAATTAAACTATTAAATCAATCTTATAATTTATTTTTATATCTTATCTATATAATGACGTACTTTTATTGTGTAAGATAATATGTGCCTGTTTCGGATCAAGCGGCTTTAACAAATAACACGCACACATACATATACACACGCACACATAAAGATTGATTGATTGTATATTGTTTAACGTCCCTCTCAAGAATTTTTCACTCATATGCAGACGTCACCATATGCCGGTGAAGGGCTTCAAATTTGGACCTTTACTCGGCACTCAGGGCCATTGAACAGTGAGGGATCTTTATCGTGCCAACGCCTGCCGCTGTCACGGGGCCTCGGTTTTTAAGGTCTCATCCGAAGGACCCGCAACTTTCACTTCAAAGTGTCGAGCGCATGGCGAAGGAACAGTTGCTACCCATTTTTATCGACTTAGGTCAGTCGCGGCCGAGATTCGAACTCACGATCTCCCGATCACGGAGCGAGCGCTCTACCGACTGAGCTACCATGAACGGTCGCACACATAAAGAATGAAATTACATGTACATGTATTATTTCCTTAGCTGTGAACTTATTCCACTTTTAAACAGCACTGGGAACGAACAGAGTGATCTTAATATGGCTGGAAAAATGCGACATTTGCTATCAAAAAACAATTTCTTGCAATAGGAAGTCGAATCCCATGGCCTGGATAAAAAGTCTCACAGATGGATAAAGTTAGATGAAGCAAGAACATACCTACTAGATGACTTCCCTAGGTACTCTGAAGACGAAGTCCGAGAACTAACCCTTGGAGTATACCAGGTGAAACTAGCAAAACATTACTCTCAGGAACACACCAACCTAGAAGGGACATATGAGATCTGGATTGACAAACAACTACCGGGCCTTCTGGTTGCGAAATTTAAGAGTAGGCACGTATCAAACTGCAGATATAAATGCTGGATAAGATATTCAGAAGACGTAGAAACATCGTGGTACTGTCGATGCAGGTCAGGTGCAAGAGAAGTAGGGACATGCGCCCATATAACAAGTGTCATCTGGTATTGGCTTACGCAAGACACGAAAGGGTGAGTTTACAAATGAGCAAAAACTGATTGGACTTGGTTGAAGATGTAGCATACATCCCAGAAGCCATTGACGAGAGTGACAGTGACAGTGAGACAGTGGTCACTGAGGAATGACTGATGAAAGGGCATGCTTGTTCTAACATTAAGAGAATTTTTTTGGCAAAATGCATTACTTGAAGAGAAGTGAAATAAATGTAATATGTTTTTTTTTTTATTTGCATAAATTTACACATGTAAAAAAACCAACGAAACAAGCATTGTTAAAAAAATATATTGCTTTCTTCATTACATAGGAAAATCATTAAATTCTCTCCTCTGGAACAACAAAGCCACGATAGTCATATTAATTTGAAAGCATCCTCAGATAGTGTAGATTAAAGTTTATCATGACCACCTTGGGGGTAAGATAGGGCTACAATTGGTAATTAAAGATTCATATTTAGGGGGGAAAGTCTGCTGATGATGAAGAAGAAGCGCTATATATAGTAACTGAAGTGAGTGTTCTGATCCATGGGCCTGTTGTTGAATTTACTACCACTCGATAACTAAATTTACCGCAATTCTAAAGAATGTGATATGATATTAATATATTTAATTTATGACTTCATCTAGACCATCTATTAAGATTATATATTTACTTTTTAATTACGTCTTAAAATTAAGAGATATTGTCTGCAGTTCATTCAGCGGAAACGTCATAATCATCAGCAACTGTGGAAAGAAAACAAGGAATGTGCGTTTTAAAAATCATAGATATAGAATTTTCATATCCTATTAAAAACCGTCATCTGTGTAGATGATTGTCGGATGATAATTAATTCACTGTTATTAACTCATCCTGTTGTTTCTTCCTCTCACGGTTTATTTTGTCGATGACTTATCACTTGTAAGATCTTTCTCATGTTTAAAACAACTGTTCAACTTATAGGTCAATAGTTTCTGACAGTCAAAAAAATTATTATGACAAGGCAAATTTTGTAGAGATTTCTTAAAGAAACTGTTTCTGACGAAGTATGTTAACAGTTTATGAAGTCATGATGGCATAATCGTAGGTTGGATTCCTGGAGTTTGTTCCCGGTCTAAAACATTTCACAGTGCAACTTCAAAATAGCTATAGAAGGCCAAGGAGGAAAAAAGAGGACACATTTGAAAATCTCTCGTCACTCTACCCACAGGAACACCCAGGTACTTAATTAGGAAATATTCCAATATCATTACCTTAATTTGGTGCTTATAGTGTGATGGAAATGTTAATTACAAAAAGGAAACATAATTTCACTGATTAGGAATTTTAAACAGATTTGGAAGGAAATAATAATACTAAATTAAATGTACTTACAAAAGGGGATATGCAATACACATTGAGTGCCCAGTGTGTCTGGTACTTAACGGCAATGGTGAGATAATTAAACCAGGAGTCTGTGTTAAGTCAAATCAGATAGAAGAATACTCACATAGGGTAAGAGATAATCGAACACTCTGTGATTTCACCAAACTGACACGTGACTCATCAAATCTATTAATTTGCCTAGATATCTAATCAACAATATCACTGGATAGAAGAATCGGCAATGGAATTACATGCATTTGTTTGTCTTTTGTTCTTGTCTGTTTGTCTGCCTGGCGTGTTTGTTATTGCTGATGAAGGATGTTGCGGAAAGGCATCGAATGGTCAATGCTTGTAATTCTTTTTTTCATTTCTGAGATTAGAAAATTATTTAACGAGTCTTTTTGATATAAATTATTCAACAGAATGCACTAATCAACCATTATCTTTCAGAAAATGCTGTATCAACTATTTATTTGTCGATGGACATTGCTCTGGTAAGTTTTACTATGAAAATTTTCATATTATTACCAAAGTCTTTTAAGGAACTGTTTTTTAGATCTATTACCACCGGAAAATAGTTAATTGAAAGTTCTTTAAAACTTTTTGTATTGTCACTTACCCAACGCCATTCAAGGAACTGTCCCTTTAAAATCCTTTTCATCCGTAAAAATGATAAAAACAATTCTTGATATATATACATTTATCTGGAGAATAATGGTTTGATGATAAATTTATTATTTTCCAGCATGCGAGCCCGGACTCTGGGGGAACAATTGTTCCGATGTGTGTGTTTATCCTTTTTTTGGTCTCACGTGTTTACAGAAGTGTGAATGCGACAAGCATCTATGTGATCCAGTTACAGGCTGTCGGGAGGAAAGTACAAGTAAGATAGCTTTGATACAAATTAAAGATTCCATTCGGTCAAATGCTGCTGGAAGTTTCTCCTACTAATCGTTAGGCCATTATTTACACACTGAATTGTAAACGATTTTTCCGTTTCTTCCCGATCATGACAAGGGACACACGGCGGATATTACATCGGTCGGCAGGGGATGCTTACTCCCCCTCGCCACCTGATCCCACCTCTCGTGTTTTGGAGGTCGTTGTTTGCTCTGCTCCTGAGTTGAATTGTTTGACTTGATTTTGAGGTTGTGTACTGTTGTCTCAATTTAACTGAATCGAAATATTAAAAAAAAAAGAAGTTAAAATTGCTACTCATCAAAATTCAGAGGAATCAAAGTGACTTGTACCAAATAGTTTTAATGTGCGTAATATAAGCGAAAAATGGTTTAGATAGATTAAAAAAAAACTACTGGTTAAACTCTTTAAAAAACTTTGAACTCTTTTAAACATATACTATCTTATGTTATCAACTACCAGGGAAATGTATTATATTATGAACTAAACAACAAAGATGAGGTTTGCTTCGTGATTTAAAAAAATATTGAATTATGAATAAAACTAATGATGCTATTTATTTCAATTACACGTAATACAGATTTCTTGTCTCCATCAAAGTATCAAATCAACCTTCCTCTTCCGGCTCGTACTTGTCATTTTACTACAGTGTATGTGATCGTATATATCTCATAACAGCCGTAATGTAAAGGATGAGTACTTACGGGAAACATTTTGATTTTTATAGAGATAAAAATTGTGATTGGCATATATTCATAGTCCGTTTATCAAAATAAATTCCACATCACACAAGGTAAATTTGTAAAATTCTTATGAACTACCAAACAAAAAAAAGTAAGAATATCACCATCGTACGCGTATTTGTAGTAAATTAAAGATAGTGCAATTTTTTTCTTAAATGAACATGATTGTTGAATGTCAAAAATATGTAGCAGGTCACCAGAAATATAATGTAAATACTGTTTAAGATATGAATTTAATTTTTGGGAATTTATGAAGTACATAAATTATACTACGATGCTCCACGCCTGCTTATCATGATGTGCTAATTAATACATGAAATATACCGGCGTGAAGCATTGTGTCCTCATGAATTCTGAAAAATTAAATTCATTTCTTAAATATTTGTAACCATTTACTAATATGTTTCAACCATATTTTTTTCATAAATAAAAACCTAGTTTACACATAACTCTTGCATATATATTTATTTACGATACACATTATGAGCAATATAGTATTTTAAAGTAGTATTATTAAGTTCAACAATTGAACTGCTTGAGTTTAATAGTGTTAAAAATATATAAACATGTAAGTACATATGGTATTTAAAGTAATTATACAGGGACGTAGCATCCGGGGGGGGCCAGGCCCCCCCCCCCCACTTTTTTCCCCAACATTACCTTTACTATAGTAAACGTTCATTGCAAGGACGGTTGGCCCCCCACTTTTTACTATAGTATAGTGATATCAAGGATTGTAGGGAAAAAATTGGAAGTGATGGTAAGTTGGCTTTTAAAAATTTGGCCACTACCCCCCCCCCCCCCCCACCACCACCACCACCACCACCACGAAATAGGATTTTAGAGTTTGGCAAACTTTTAATTTTTTTTTTCTTTTGTTTTTGTTTGTTTTTTTTTGGCTTGCCAACTTTTTCAGGTAGGTAAAAAAAATTTTTTTTTGGTTGGCCCCCCCCCCACTTTCAAAAACGATGCTACGTGCCTGTTATAGTATCTATTTAAAACAAATGTTCAATATAGGTTACAATTTTATTATCATTTAAGTTATCATAATATATTTTACTAATGAACACAAGCGAGCAGGGTACATAAACAGATGTAATATTACTATTGTTAGGCCTCTATTCAAATTTTATTTTCAGAACCGAAGTACTCTTGTTGGTGTACATGACATTTGAATAACTGATATTTCCCGAACACATGTTAGGTGTCATACAATGTTCATTTTCTCTTTGCCACTTCTTGTAATTTTTTCTGGAATATTTGCAAGTTGCTTGCAATAGTAGTGTAAATTGTTCTTTACACAGTTTTAACATAAATTCAAAGCAACATTTTATTTTGCAGCAAAAGACATCACAAAAACAACAGCTAGTGTGACTGAAATGAATTCCATAAATATAGGACAGAAAAGCAGTGAAAAAGTTAAATGGATGCCGAATATAATTGACAGTTCTCATTTACAAATAGTATTCACTGTCGGTGGCATGGTTCTCGGATTTTGTATTCTAACGATAGCTTTGCTTGTAATTATGATCATTCGAAAACAACAAACCAGTCGAGATGTAAATGTAGAAGGTCACGAACTGCAGACGTTACGTCATAATCAGGGAAATCTACAACAGAAGGTTACCCCCGTGGAAATGAACACCTATAGAAGCATAAGGAAGGTGGGGTCCAAAGCTACATGTTCTGACAATATGAGTTCTCATTGCTATCAGGATATACAGGAATACATGAGTATCGATGGAAATGCTGAAAAATGTGACACAGAAGAAAATGACAGTTTGTGCGAGTACCTCAATATGGAAGACTCTTTAATGACAGACGATGGGTATCAAATCCCGATTATCAAAAAGGCAATGTTATCAGAGAAATAGCATAGGAATGATTTAATAAATTCTTAAAACTGATAGCCCTTAGTAGTGTATCAAGCCTGTCTCTTGAAGCAGTGCTCTGGACAAAAATTCCAAAGTGTTGGTATGTGTAAGGACTATTCCCCACGTTATTATCAACAAACAATAGTTACTTCTATTTATATGTTGACTCGATATATCAAGTAAAATTGAAATAAAAGATACCACATCAGAGTCTGACACATCGTTTTTGTATTTAGATATTTTTATACTAGAAAAAGTCATAGATGGTGATCAAACATAAAAAAAATTCATGATAAACGTGATAACTTCCATTTTTCTGTCATCAGCTTTCCTTACTCAAGTAGCAACGAGTTCTAAAACGATGCAAGCTATTGACAAACACGAATTCAATATCAACCGTCTCATTTGAAAACATCATATCCGCAAATTCTTGGATCGATACAATGACCTTGTAAGCCATTACAATCGATCATTAAGCCAAATACTGATCTACATTTTACATTATCAATGTAAGTCCATTGTTTAGAATCTGAATTGTCTACGATTTTCCCGCTAATTTTCCATACACTACACTACAAGTAGCATACTCGGGTGAGTCCGTTCAACAAGGAACCTATACACCTTCATGGCATCTAATCCCACTTATTAGAGGCCTGTGTTTGCTTTTCGCCGGATTTGTATTGTTTAATATTTAAGGAGTTTTAATCTCTCAATTGATTCGATACGCACGAGCTAGCATGCTCTACTCATGTACAATTTCTAAAACGAGGTAAATTATTGACAAACAAGTTGATGAAGCAAGCATATCAGCAGTCTCGTTTGAAGTCATCATTTCGTTAGTTCTTAGATCGATACAATGACCTCGTCAACAAATACAATTTATCATGGGCACATTGCGAAAACTGGAAATTTGCCGCTTCCAACTGGAGACGGTATTCTCAGGACGATTTTCGAAACTGGCGAAGCGAATTTAATGTAAAATCCACAACGTATCAATAGTGCAATACTTTAAAGGTACTTGGACACAGATTTGAAGTTAATTTTTTCTCTATAATATTACGGCTTATATATTTTAATAGCATTTCACACAAAAATTAATTAAAAATCTTATTTCATTTATAAGTTATTAAAATTTTTATTTTTTTGGCGGGTTTGATTGACACGTCCTTGCACTTTCACAAATATTAACTTTATTCTTAATCCTTAGGAAAAATGGCAATCTTGTTGTGTATTAATGAAAAATATTAGTACTATAATCCAGAAAATTAAGAGTAGACATGTTCGAAAGCAAAACAAACACACAATGTATTGTCAGTCCGTGCAGTTGTGGTGAGCAGACTTTGGCAATTAAACGCACCCGGTGAATCGTAAACACCAAACAATAACACGCTTTTGCCTTGTTTACAAAAACTGTGTACATAACACGAGTGTGTTCGATTTGCTAAACTCTGTACACAACGGAATGACGATACTTGTGAAGGAGATTTGCTTTCTAACAATTCTACTCTGAATAAAATTATTTTTCTGGATTTAAGTTTTAATATTTCCCAATAATACACAACAAGATTGCCACTTTTCCTAAGGATTAAGAGTAAAGTTAAAATTTGTGAAAGTGCAAGGATGTGTCAATCAAACCCGCCAAAAATTTTTAAGTTATAATATCTTTTTATTGAAATAAGATTTTTGATTAATTTTTGTGTGAAATGGTATTAAAACATATAATTCCTGATATTATACAGAAAAAAATAACTTCAAATCTGTGTCCAAGTACCTTTAAGTACTCGCCAACATCGTTTTTTATGGTTCGTTTATAAAACTTACAATGCGATGAAAACATTTTATCTGACTGTCGAGATTTGTTTTCTTTTCGTGCATTTTAAAATCTTGCAACTTCTATATCGAAATATGGAGTGTGATATCTTTTTTTCATTATTGGTAAGTACTAGATGCATTGAGCTATTGATTAATTGTGAGTTCGGCATTTAATTCGGTTCACAAGTATCGAAAATCAACTCTCGTTGGAGACGGCAAAATTTCCAGTTTACGTAATGGCGCCGGTTCTGGCGTTTTCCCTGGCACATAAAATATCAAAACGTCAGATATTTCGGACTAGATGACCTTGTGTGTGTGCACAACCCATACGACTATTGTTTTAAAACTTATTTTGATCAAGGGTTTCTGATCACAAGGCTCACGGAAGGTGATGCCGGTCGACGGGGATTCTTACTTCTACACACTTGATAAACAACTCTGTTGGTGTTTACAAGGGTTTGGGTTTTTGTCTTGTTCAAGATTCATATTCTTAACAGGATTTATAAGAAACTTTACTTTTTTCCATTATACCCCCCCTTGAAAAGCGGGAGGGTATATAGTAATCGGTATGTTCGTCCGTCTGTTACTCTTTTAGGTACCCATCTCTTATCCGCAACCCCTCTCATACCACTGAGTGAAATTTGACGCAACTTTCACAGAATCTTTATTACATAACACATAATGCCATTGTGCATCTCCTATTGTACTTTTTGATCCGACACATATTTTGGGTTTCCCATTGCAAAACATGGACATATGCATGCCATTATACATGTATTCATATGGGAGGCGCTGTATGATTTAGTGAGCTCCTTGCTCACAGTACCTCTACTTTAATCACTTTTCATGTTCACATAATAAAAGGTGAAAATAACAAACAGTGATTAATGTCAAATAATTTAATTTTGGTTGTAACGCGTCATTTAATTGGATAAAAAAAAATATATATATTGTACAACTTGGGTTGCCTACGTAAAATAACTTTCGTCAAAAACGTATCATTCTGCTTGACTTTACGTTTAAAATTAATATGAACAAATTAAATTATAAGAAATGAATTAAAAGCAACCCAAGTTATACTGGTACAATCTGGGTTGGAGCAGTTTACTCTTTTTTATAAAACAGTTTAAAAAGAGTAAACTGCCCCCACCCAGATAATACAGTAAATAATTTGGGTTGTTATTAAATTCATTCCATAATTAAACACACAAACAATAAACCTGTGAATAGGGCAAATACCCTTGGAAATTCCAGAAGTTGGATCAGGTGCCTGGGAGGAGTAAACATCCGCTGTCGACTGGACAGGGCCTCCGTGAGCCCTATGTATTGATCAGGTAGACGGCCTATAATTTGTAGTCAAATTTGGTATAAAAACAAAGGCTTCAAATTTGGTATAAAAACAGAGGCTTCAAATTTGGTATAAAAACAAAGGCTTCAAATTTGGTATAAAAACAGAGGCTAATTTGGTATAAAAACAAAGGCTTCAAATTTGGTATAAAAACAGAGGCTTCAAATTTGGTATAAAAACAAAGGCTTCAAATTGGTATAAAAACAGAGGCTTCAAATTTGGTATAAAAACAGAGGCTTCAAATTTGGTATAAAAACAGAGGCTTCAAATTTGGTATAAAAACAAAGGCTTCAAATTGGTATAAAAACAGAGGCTTCAAATTTGGTATAAAAACAGAGGCTTCAAATTTGGTATAAAAACAGAGGCTTCAAATTTGGTATAAAAACAGAGGCTTCAAATTTGGTATAAAAACAGAGGCTTCAAATTTGGTATAAAAACAAAGGCTTCAAATTTGGTATAAAAACAGAGGCTTCAAATTTGGTATAAAAACAAAGGCTTCAAATTTGGTATAAAAACAGAGGCTTCAAATTTGGTATAAAAACAAAGGCTTCAAATTGGTATAAAACAGAGGCTTCAAATTTGGTATAAAAACAGAGGCTTCAAATTTGGTATAAAAACAGAGGCTTCAAATTTGGTATAAAAACAGAGGCTTCAAATTTGGTATAAAAACAGAGGCTTCAAATTTGGTATAAAAACAAAGGCTTCAAATTTGGTATAAAAACAGAGGCTTCAAATTTGGTATAAAAACAAAGGCTTCAAATTTGGTATAAAAACAGAGGCTTCAAATTTGGTATAAAAACAAAGGCTTCAAATTGGTTTAAAAACAAAGGCTTCAAATTGGTATAAAAACAAAGGCTTCAAATTTGGTATAAAAACAGAGGCTTCAAATTTGGTATAAAAACAGAGGCTTCAAATTTGGTATAAAAACAAAGGCTTCAAATTGGTATAAAAACAAAAGCTTCAAATTGGTATAAAAACAAAGGCTTCAAATTTGGTATAAAAACAGAGGCTTCAAATTTGGTATAAAAACAGAGGCTTCAAATTTGGTATAAAAACAAAGGCTTCAAATTTGGTATAAAAACAGAGGCTTCAAATTTGGTATAAAAACAGAGGCTTCAAATTTGGTATAAAAACAGAGGCTTCAAATTTGGTATAAAAACAAAGGCTTCAAATTTGGTATAAAAACAGAGGCTTCAAATTTGGTATAAAAACAAAGGCTTCAAATTTGGTATAAAAACAGAGGCTTCAAATTTGGTATAAAAACAAAGGCTTCAAATTGGTATAAAAACAGAGGCTTCAAATTTGGTATAAAAACAGAGGCTTCAAATTTGGTATAAAAACAGAGGCTTCAAATTTGGTATAAAAACAGAGGCTTCAAATTTGGTATAAAAACAGAGGCTTCAAATTTGGTATAAAAACAAAGGCTTCAAATTTGGTATAAAAACAGAGGCTTCAAATTTGGTATAAAAACAAAGGCTTCAAATTTGGTATAAAAACAGAGGCTTCAAATTTGGTATAAAAACAAAGGCTTCAAATTGGTATAAAAACAAAGGCTTCAAATTTGGTATAAAAACAAAGGCTTCAAATTTGGTATAAAAACAGAGGCTTCAAATTTGGTATAAAAACAAAGGCTTCAAATTTGGTATAAAAACAGAGGCTTCAAATTGGTATAAAAACAGAGGCTTCAAATTTGGTATAAAAACAGAGGCTTCAAATTTGGTATAAAAACAGAGGCTTCAAATTTGGTATAAAAACAGAGGCTTCAAATTTGGTATAAAAACAAAGGCTTCAAATTTGGTATAAAAACAGAGGCTTCAAATTTGGTATAAAAACAAAGGCTTCAAATTTGGTATAAAAACAGAGGCTTCAAATTTGGTATAAAAACAAAGGCTTCAAATTGGTATAAAAACAAAGGCTTCAAATTTGGTATAAAAACAAAGGCTTCAAATTTGGTATAAAAACAGAGGCTTCAAATTTGGTATAAAAACAAAGGCTTCAAATTTGGTATAAAAACAGAGGCTTCAAATTTGGTATAAAAACAAAGGCTTCAA